TAACTTTGTAATATAATTTATAATTCTATATTTATTATAATTATATAATTATAAATAATCTTTTAGTGTGATGCCTCCAGTTTTTTTCTTTTTCCTCAAGATTGCTTTAGCTATTTAGGGTCTTTTGTGGTGCCATACTAATTTTAGGATCATTTTTCTTATTTCTGTGAAGAATGTCATTGGCATTTTGATAGGGAACCTGTAGATTGCTTTAAGTGGCATAGACATTTTAAAAATATTAACTCTATCAATGAGAATGAAATATTTTTCCATTTTTTAGTGTCCTCTTCAATTTATTTCATCAATGTTTCATAGTTTTTCTTGTAGAGATCTTTCACTTCTTTGATTAAATTTGTTCCTTTGTATAAATTGTTTTGTAGCTATTTTAAATTGGATTGCTTTCCTGATTTTTTTTTCAGACTGATGGCTGTTAGTGTATACAAACGCACTAATTTTATATGCTGATGTATCCTACAACTTTATGACATTCTTTTATCAACTGCAATTTTTTTTTGGTGGAGTCTTTAGGGATTTTTAAATATAAATCATGTCTTCTGGATAAAAAGCTAATTTGAATACTTCTTTTCCAATTTGGATGCCCTGTGTATTTTTCTCTTGCCTAGTTGCTCTGGCTAGACCTTCCCATACCATATTGAATAAAAGTGGTGAAAGTGAGCATACTTGTTTTCTTCCACATCTTAGTGGAAACGCTTTCAATGTTTCTCATTTAGTATATCATCTATTTGCTGTGGCCTTGCAATACTATATATGGCCTTTCTTGTGTTGAGGTATGTTTCTTCTATTCACAATTTGTTGAGACTTCCATAATGAAGGGATGTTGAATTGTATTGAATGCTTTTTCAACATCCATTGAAATAATCATGTAATTTTTGTCCTTGATTCTTCTGATGTGATAAATCACATTTATTGATTTGTGTATGTTAAACTGTTTTTGCATCCTTAGGAAGACTCCCACTCAATCATGGTGGATAATCTTTCTAACTCATTTTTGAATTCTGTTTGCTAATATTCTGTTGAAAATTGTTTTAATTTATTTTCACCTGGAACATAGACCTGTAGTTTTATTATTTTGTTGAGTCCTTTCTAGTTTTGTAACAAAGGTAATGCCAGTCTCATAGAATTAGTTTGTAAGTATTCCCTCCTCTTCAATTTTTTGAAATAGTTTGAGTAGATTTGGTATTAGTTCTTCTTTATATGTTTGGTAGAATTCAGCAGTGAATTAATCAGGTCCTGAGCTTTCTATTATGACTTCAATCTAATTACTCATTATTTGTCTATTCACGTTTTCTGTTTCTTCATGATTCAACCTTGGCATGTTGTATGTGTTCAGGAATTCATCCATTTCTTCTAGGTTTCCATTTTGCCGGCATATAGTTGTTCATAATAGTCTCTAATGATCCTTTGTATTCCTATGCTATGAGTTGTAATACTTTCTTTTTCATCTCTTTTTTATTTGTTTGGTTATTCTCTTTGTTTTTATTAGATAGTATAGTCAAAGGTTTGTCAATTTTGTTACTATTTTATTTTTCTAGTATTAATTTCATATATTTCTGCTCTGACCTTTATTATGTCTGTCTTTCTACTAATTTGGGGCTTGGTTTGTTTCTGCCTTTTTAGTTCCTTGAGATGCATCATTTAGTTGTTTATTTGGAACCTATGTTTTTAATATAGGCATTTATTGCTTTAAGCCTCCCTCTTAGTACTACTTTTCCTGTATCTTACAGGTTCCAGTATGTTTTGTTTCCATTTTTATTCGTTTCAAGAAATATTTCAATTTTCTTCTTAATTTCTTTTTTGACCCATTTGTCATTTAGGAACATGTTGTTTAATTTCCAGGGAGTTGTACAGTATCCAAAGTTTCTCATTTGATTTATTTCTAGTTTTATTTCATTGTCATAAGAAAAAATGCTTTATACGATTTCAACGTTTCTTGAATTTGTGTGAGGATTGTTTTGTGGCCCCAAATATAAATTAATAACCAGAATATATTTTAAAAACTCAATCAATTGAATAGTTTAAAAATAATAATCCAATTTAATAATTGACAAAATAACTGAATAGATATTTCTCAGAAGAAGACATACTAAAGGAAGGCCAACAGGTATATGAAAAAAAGTTCAACATCACTAATTATCAAGAAATACAAATCAAAACCACAATGAGATAGCATCTCAGGCCAGTTAGAACTACTGTTATTGAAAAGACCAAAAAAAAAAAAAAAAACTGACAAATATTGGCATGGATGCATCGAAAAGGGAACAGTTGTACACTGTTGATGAAAATGTAAAGTAGTACAGCCATATGGAAATCAGCACAGAGGTTCCTAAAAAAACTAAACATAGAAACACCACATGATTCAACTATACCACTGCTCGCCATATATCCAGAAAGAGGAAATAAGTATATGGAAGCAGTGTCTGCACTCCCCTGATTATCACAGCACTATTCATAATAGCCAAGATTTGGAATCAACCTAAATGTCCATCAATGGATGAATGAATAAAGAAACGTGGAATAGATACAGAATAAAATATTCAATCATAAAAATGAAATCCTGTCATTTGCAGCAACATGAATGAAACTGAAAGTTATCATGTTAAGTAAATTAACCCAGGCACAGTAAAATAAATATTAAATGTTCTTACTTATATGTGGAAACTACAAAGTGAACCTCATGGAGGTAGAGAGTAGAATGATGGCAAGGAAAGGGGTTAGTGAGGAATAAATAGAGTTGGTTGGTGGGTATAAAAATACAGTTAAATAGAAGGAATAAGTACTAGTGTTTGATACTACAGTAGGGAAATTATAGTTAACAGTAAGTTAGTGTGCATTCCAAAATAGCTAGGAGAGAAGAATTGTAATGTTTCCATCACAAAGAAAAAAGATCAATGTTGAATGTGATAGAAATCTCAAATATCCTGACTTGATCATTAAACACGATATATATGTATCAAAATATCACATGTGCCCCTGAAATATGTGCAACAATGATATATTAATTGTAAAACTATAAAATAATAAAAATTAAAGAAAACACATGCAAAAGCTGAAAAAACCTGTCATAAGCAGATACACATTAAACAAATGTTAAAGGAAGTCTTTCAAGAAAAAGGAAACAGATGAAAAGATGGATTTACACAAGGTTATAAAGAACTTTTGCTCAGCAAAAGAAAATATCATTAGAGTTAACAGGCAACCTAGAGAATGAGAGAAAATTTTTGCAATCTATCCATCTGACAAAGGTGTAATATTCAAAATCTACAAGGAACTTAAACAATTTTACAAGAAAAAAACAATCCCATCAAAAAGTGGACAAGGGATATGAACAGACACTTTTCAAAAGAAGACATTTTTGTGGCCAACAAACATATGAAAAAAAGCTCATCATAACTACTCATTAGAGAAACGCAAATCAAAACCATAATGAGATACCATCTCACGCCAGTTAGGCAATCATTAAAAAGTCTGGAAACAACAGATGATGTCGAGAATGAGGAGAAATAGGAATGCTTTTACACTGTTGGTGGGAGTGTAAATTCATTCAGCCATTGTGGAAGACAGTGTGGCAGTTCCTCAAGGATTTAGAACCAGAAATACCATTTGACACAGCAATCCCATTACTGCGTATATACCCAAAGAATTATAAATCATTCTACTATAAAGACACACGCACCCATATGTTTATTGCAGTACTATTTACAATAGCAAAGACTTGGAATTAACCCAAATGCCATCAATGATAGACTGGATAAAGAAAATGTGGCACATATACACCATACAATACTATGCAGCCATAAAAAGAATGAGTTCATGTCCCTCGCAGGGACACAGATGAAGCTTGAAATAATTATCCTCAGCAAAGTAACAGAGAAACCAAACACCACATGTTCTCACTCGTAAGAGGGAGTTGAACAGGGAGAACACATGGATATAGGGAGGGTAACATCACACACAGGGGCCTGTCGGAGGGTTTCAGGGGGAAAGGGGATGGAGAGCATTAGGACAAATACCAAATGCATGCAGAGCTTAAAATCTAGATGACAGATTGATAGGTGCAGCAAATCACCGTGGTACATGTCTGGTACACCTATATAGAACCTGCACGTTCAGCACATGTATCCCAGAACTAAAAGTAAAATTTTAAAAAAAGAAATGTTACAACAAAATGCTTTGAAAATGAAAAAAAGAACACTACAACTGATTTAATATGTGAGTAAATATAATAGATATTTCCGTATTACTTAAATATTGTTAAAATATTTAAATATTTGCTAAAAGATAAATTGGCAGTTTAGACAAAAAACAATAATAATGTGTTTATTATTAAAGGTTTAGAACATAAGCAAAAGTAAAATCTGTAACAACAGCACAAAGGAAAAAAGAAAAGATATGGAAGTATAGCTTTTGAAGCTGCTTACAATATGCTAAGTGATGTAACATTACTTGAAAGTTGGTTACAATAAGTTAAATAGGTATACTCTAACCCAAACAGCAGAAACACATGTTTTTCAGATGTACACACAAGATTTATCAAGATAGACTATATTTGGGACCACTACACAAATCTCAATAAATTTAAAAGGAATCAAGTCAAATAAAGTACACTATCTGACTATAAAGGAATACATTTAGATATAAATAACAGAAAGATCTCTGAAAGTTTCAGAAATATTTGCAAACTAAAACATTTTATACAGATAAAATAATAAATGAAAGAGAATTAGAATATATTTTCGACTGAATTAAAATTATAGGAGACATCAACATTTATGAAATTCTGCTAAAGCAGTACTCAAGGAGAAATTGTATCAAAGTATTTCTGTATTAGGAAAGAAAGATTCATTGAAAACAATGAACTCAGCTTCACCTGAGTTCTATTAAAAAACCCAAAACAGAAGAACAAATTAGAACCAACATAAGCAGAAGAAAGGAAAAAGTAAACATCGGTGCAGAAATCAATGAAATAAAAAAATTGAAGCCGAGAGGGGCCAGGCGCCCGGTAGATCTGAAGCCGGGTAATGGGAGAAGATGGTTTACATCTCGAACGGACAAGTGTTGGACAGCCAGAGTCAGTCTCCATGGAGATTATCTTTCATAACAGATTTCTTCTGGGGAATAGCTGAGTTTGTGGTTTTGTTTTTCAAAACTCTGCTTCAGCAAGATGTGAAAAAAAGAAGCAGCTATGGAAACTCATCTGATTCCAGATATGATGATGGAAGAGGGCCACCGGGAAACCCTCCCCGAAGAATGGGTAGAATCAATCATCTGCGTGGCCCTAGTCCTCCTCCAATGGCGGGTGGATGAGGAAGGTAAATGTCTGCTCTAAGAAGCAGACAACTGGACATGCGCATTCACAGCAGAAGGAAACCATCAAGAAGTGGAAGGCCGACCATGCTGAGCAGTAGATGAATGTGTCTGTCTAAACAAGGACTGCTCTGTGTCCTCACAGATGAATGAGGTCATGCTAGGAATTCCCTCTACAGGGAACTGGCCTGACTGACATGCAGTTCCATAAATGCAGGTGTTTGTCTCATGCAAAAAAACAAAAAAAACAAACAAACAAAAAAAACAGACCAAAAAAAAATTGAGAAAATTGTTGAAAACAAAAGCTGAATCTCTGAGACGAAAGAAAATCAGTGAAACTAAAAGCTGAATCTTTGAGAAGATCAATAAAATCAATAAATCTCTAGTTAGACTGATCAATGAGAGAGAGAGAGAGAGAGAGAGAGAGAGAGAGAATTACTAATGTCAAAAATAGAAGAGGTGACATTACAGAGCCTCCATGTATTAAATGACCATTAATGGAGGAGTAACATCAGCAAAATGAAAAAGCTGGTAGTTCTAAGCTTCTGTTCCTCCATGGAAATATTTTTTTTAAATAGCAAAAACAATCAGAAGCAACATTGTCAGACCTTGCAAAAATAGTCAGAAGTTTACATCAACCAAATACACACAAAAGCAAGAAAAAAGAAATTTAAAAAATGATAAGAAAGTTTTGTGGCATTTTCAATACCCCCCTACTCTACACCCTTCCCAGCACAGTGACGACTTTGCAGTCAACAGTCAATGTCCCCGTTGTGAGACTCTGGCTTCTGCTGAGCCAACTTTATTCACAAACGTTTGTCTGTTTTAACCTTCTGAAGACTATCTAAAGAACTGATCCCAAGTGTTCTTTCTATTTCACTGAACACAGACTGCAGTGAGGTTGGAATAGCAGCAGCAGGCATTGTACCAAAATACTATAAGGATAACAACAACCTACATTCACCTAGAGGAAAATAATATTACAGTTGAGACACGCAATTGACTACCTAAATCCTGGAATGAAAAGCTGTAGAGAATTTCTCTGGAAAACTAGGACAGACAAAAGCACCTACCTACACTGGAGTATTTAGACAAACATTCGCATGCCTAAAACAAGATGCACACTCAGGGAAGAACTGAGAAGATTGTAAATTTTCACCTCTGGCTAATATGCAGGCCCAGTACAAGCCCAGATAACTGTGGAAGAAGTGCCCCTGCAGAGACTAATCTACATAGACTGGAAGAGGTTTGGTTTTCTGTTTTTATTTTTTAACTATTGGCACTCAAGGAGATCTCTGTCAAAACACTGGCTAAACACAAGATAAATACTCGGAAACTTCAGTGATCACACTCAATGAGGAATACAGGTTTTGCAAAAATTGTTTTCAAAGGTCACTAAACAAATGGACAGATACAGATTTTACCAATCAAAACCCAGCAAACTTCAGGGAAGGATGAGAATCTAATTTCTAGAGTTACACCATTATATTATTCAAATGTCCAGTTTTGTTTTGTTTTGCTTTGTTTTGTTTTAAAACAAATAATCACAAGGCATACAAAAAAAAGAACAACAACAAAAACACCACACACAGGAAAGTATGCCCATCCAAAACAACTAAATTAATTGATAGAAAATATCCTTCAGGAATTCTAGATAGTGTACATAGCAAAGACTCTAAAACAAGTGTCTTAAATGTATTTGAAAAGCTAAAGAAGAACCGGGCACGGTGGCTTACACCTTTAATCGCACTTTGGGAGGCTGAGGTGGTTGGATCGCTTGAGCTCAGGAGTTCAAGACCCGCCTGGGCAATATGGCAAAACCCCATATCTACAAAAGATACAAAAATTAGCTGAGTGTGGTGGCATGCGCCTGTAGTCTCAGCTACTTGGGAGGCCGAGGTGGGTGGATGGCTTGAGCCCAAAACGTGGAGGTTGCAGTGAGTTGAGTTTGTGTCACTGTACTCCAGCCTGAGTAACAGAGCCAGACCCTATCTCAAATAAAAATAAAAATAAACTAAAGGAAATCATGAACAAATAATCTAAGAAATCAGGAAAGATATATGAACAAAATTAGGATCTCAAGAAAAGATAGAAATTACAAAATGAACCAAACAAAATTCTGGAGCTAACAATTACAAAAACTAAAAATTATTACCGAGAATCAACAGTAAATTTCAACAGGGAGAGGACAGGATTCATGAACTTTAAATGAGATAATTGAAATTATCTAGTATGAGAAACAGAAAGAAAAAAGTAATTAAAGTAGAGAGAGCAAAATTACTTGTGGGTACCATGAAATGGATTGACAGTTACATTATGGAACTTCCAAAGGAAGAGAGGGAGAACAAGATGAAAATAATAGTTGAAGGAAAAATGAGACAAACTTCCAAAATTTGACTACATCTTCATATCCAAATAGCTTAACAAACTCTAAGTAGGAAAAACTCAAAGAGATCCACACCAAGACATGTTATACTTAAATTGTCAAAAGACAAAGAGAATGTTAAAAACAGCAAGGGAAAACTACTCATCATGGGAAAGCAGCAAGGGAAAATTACTCATCTTTAGGATCCTCACTACGATTAACTGCCAATTACTCAATGGAAATCATTGAGCCAGAAACAGTGGGATGATATACTGAAAAATACTGAAAGAAAAATAACTCTAAGCCAAGAATCCTTTATCCAATAAAATCCCGTAAAAATTGTACTTTAAAAGTAAGAAATTAATAAATTTCCAAATAAACAAAAGCTAAGAAAATTTGTTATAAATAGACCTATCCTTACAAGAATCCTAAAGGGAGTCCTTCGGTTTGAAATGAAAGATATTAGACAGTAACTCAAAGTCTCTTGTAAAAGTAACCAGGGTAACTATAAAAGCCAATATTATTGAATTTTTGGTTTGAAACTCTACTTTTTATTTCCACATGATTTAACAGACAAATGCCTAAAAGTAATTATATATTTATGTTATTAAGTACAGTGTAGAAAAATGTATTTTGTGCCAATAATAACATAAAATGAGGAGAAATAATTGTGTAGAACCAGAGTTTTGTATGTTATTCTAATTAAATTTTTAAAATTTTAGAATATTAATCATAATCTCAATGGAACCTACGAGGACCTACTCAAAAACATACACAAGAAAATAAGAAAATGCACTTTGGGAGGCCAAGGCAGGAGCATCACTTGAGGTCAGGAGTTCAAGACCAGCCTAGCCAACATGGCAAAACCTCATCTCTACTAAAAACACAAAAATTAGCTAGGCATTGTTGCCTGTTCCTGTAACCCCAGTTAGTCAGGAGGCTGGGGCAGGAGAACCACTTGAACCTGGGAGGCAGATGTTTCAGTGAGCTAAGATCACGTCACTACATTCCAGCCTGGGCGACACAGTGAGACTCTGTCTCAGAAAAAAAAAAAAAGAAAAAATAGAAAAAGAAAAAGGACAACCTGACTGAAAAATAGGCCAAAGGACTTAACACTTAACACATACCTCATCAAAGAAGATATACAGATGGCAAATATCATATGAGAAGATGAGAAATGCACTACTTCATACCTATTAAGATGGCGTATTTGTCCATTTTCATGTTGCTATGAAGAAATACCTGAGATTGGATATTTAATAAAGAAAAGGAGGTTTAATGGACTCATATTTCCACATGGCTAGGGAGGTCTCACAGTCATGCCAATAGGCGAAGGAGGAGCAAAGGCCTGTCTTACATGGTGGCAGGCAAGAGAGCATGTGCAGAGGAACTGTCCTTTATAAAACCATCAGATCTTAGTAAGACTTACTCACTATCACAAGAACAGCATGGGTAGGAAAAATCCACCCCCATGATTCAACTACCTCCCACTGGGTCCCTCTCATGATATGTGGGGATTATGGGAGCTACAATTCAATATGAGATTTGGGTGCGGACACAGCCAAACCCTATCAGATGGCTATAATTTCAAAAATGTAATACAAGTGTTGGTGAAGGTATGGAGAAATTGAAATCCTCATACATGTAAAATGGTGTACCTGCTATGCAAAACAGTTTGGCAGTTCCTCAAAAAGTTAAACTCAGAATTTCCATATGACTCATAAATTCTACTTTTAGATACACTATACCCCAAAGAACTTAAGACAGGTACTCAAACAGGTACTTGTTTGTGAATGCTCATTGCAGTATTACTTACAATAACTGGAAGGTGGAAACAGCCCAAGTGTTCAGCAACAGATAAATGGTTAAACACCATGTCAAATGCTTTTCTGCATCTACTGAGATAATCATATGATTTTTATTCTTCATTCTGTTAATGCACATCATTACACTGATTAACTTATGTACGTTGAATCAACCTAGTATCTCAGGGATAAATCCTACTTGATCATGGTGTATGATTCTTTTAATGCACTGTTTGCTGGCATTTTGTTGAAAACATTTGCATCTGTGCTCATTGGGGATATGGGCCTGTATTTTTCTTTTCTTATGGTGTCCTTATCTGGCTTTGCTGTGAGGGTAATGCTAGCTTCATAAAATGATTTCTCTCTTATTTAGTCTCTTGGAAGTTTGAGAGGTATTGTGTTAGTTCTTTAAATGCTTGGTATAATTCATCTATAAAGCCATCTGGTCTTGAGATTTTCTTAGGATTTTTGTTTTAATTTAGTTTCCTTATTCATTATTGGTCTACTTAGGTTTTCTATTTCTTCATGATTTAGTCTTGGTAGATTGTGTGTTTCTGGGAATGTATTCATTTCTTCTAGTTTAGCCAATTTGTTGGTGTATGATTGTTCGTGGTGGTCTTTTATAATCTTTTGTATTTCTATGTTATCAGCTATAATGTATCCTCTTTCATTTATTTGAGTCCTTTCCCTTATTTTCTTGGTGAATATATCTAAAAGTGTGTTGATTTCATTTATCTTTTAAAAAGCCAACTCTTAGTTTCATTAATCATTTTGACTATCTTTCCAGTCTCTAGTTTATTCATTTCTGCTCAAAAATCTCAATTATTTCCTTTGTTCTGCTAACTTTGGGTT